TTTTATTTTACGATTTATTTATATTTATTTTATTTTATGGTTATAAGATTATACGTGGTAGAAAACGGTTTACTTTTTTAATGCAAACCAAATTGCAAATACGTAAATTAATTGAATTCCGAAATGCTATCCTCATTGAATACAAAACAATTAATTGACAACCTTAATACAAAATTATTATGTTAACATTTTGCCAATTGTATAAACCGTTTGATATCGAAACTTATAGAATATTTGGACGGAATTGAATACACACAATAAACTAAGTAAAAGACCAAACTAGGCTAGCTATATTGAGGCAAATCAATTAAATTGCCAAAATTAGCTAATAGGGTAAATCATGTGGGTATACTGTATAAGAAAATACTAAGTCTATTACTCAACTTATTTTTCCCGTAGAAGCCTGGAGAATTTCCCGTCCTCCCTCAACGACTCGCGGGTCAGATCACAGGTTTCAAGCGACCCTATTATCTACCTACCAGACCCCCGGGTCAGTTTGAATGACCCAAAACTACCCTCTGACCGCGGATCAAATCGAGCACACGCGTAAAAATAGGGTGTTCTCATTTTTGACCCCCAACACATAAAATTTTCCATTTATCTCCAGATCTTAAAAAGAGATTATAAAAACGAATAATTAAGTATCAAAGTGTTTTTGTATTGTTATTGGTAACGGAGAAAATTTTAGAATTTCAAATTTAAAATTCCCATGTTATTAAAATATTATATGGAGAATATTGTAAAATGTAGTTTGCTTGTTTATGGATATATTTTGACCATACTTGGGAAAATTTATTTATCTTACACTAAGGTATTAATATTTTATTCAAAAATATGCTTTAATAGTTTCCTTGTAGCAGCAAACCTAGGTACGCGTTAAACCTAATGTTATTTAAATTGTGTTGAAAATCAATTCAGACAGATGGAAATTCGCTTAGTCGGCAGGTTTGCTTTGGCGGGGGTATTAGTAGAAATACATCTAACAATAAACCAAATATGTATATACAATGATACAATGGAATTTAATTGAAAGCTGGTGGTTGTAACGATCGCAATCGAATCTGAAGATCACTGTTTTGAATCCAAGCAAGATAATTTCTGGACCTAGGTGTTGTATATGTCAATGGGAAAATTAATGATTATATCTAACTAAAGGTTGACGTTATATGGTATGCTAACTAAACCAGGTTTTGGACCGTTCCCTTGCAAAAAATGTTAAACACGCGAATGCTGTAAATAAAATTTTAAAAATATTGATGGTAAGAGAAGACTATTAAATTATGTAGTAGGTAAGTTACCTTTATCCAAGCTTTTCGACCGGGTAAATCTTAAAATAGTACGGTAAAGAAAATTCTTTAAATTCAGTACAATAGGCCTAGAGCTCAAATTACTAATGATAATTGAATTCTTCGTATTTTATAGCTGGAATGTATCATTTAAGAATGTTGACTTACAACAGAGTTTATTTAGACAATAAAGAATATTTTTTCAAAGTATTTTGTGAAATTGAAATGAAGAAAATTTGAATTTTTAACTGTTTCTATGGAAACCAACCTGGTGTAAAACAGCTATTGTACCAAATAAAAAAATAAAATTTTACACATTCTATAATGTATAATAGCGTCGTATGTCATTAAATACACTTAGTACGCAGTTTTACAAAATGTACAATATTTCCAGTGAAAAATAATAATATTGAATCAATCAAATAATTAAAAATTAGTAAGTTCTGTTTCCTTGGAAACGAAGCTGTTGCAAAACAGTTTTAATTATTGTTTAATGCGTTTTTTACACATTTTAATTTACAAGTCTACTCCTATGGAAACCAGTATGTTGTATAAACAGGTTGTTATCACAAATGACAATGTGTTTTTGTGTTTTCTATAATGAATTGTAGGGTAATCAAATATTAAAACAACTTTCCACATAGTTTTACAAAACGTGGTTAATTACAGAAAAACATCTATTAGCAATGTTAACAGAACTTTAATTTTCTATTTCGAATAGCATATACTTGTCAAATAAACTATGCACAATTTTTTATATCTGATTTTGTCAATCATCTGAATGTAGTTAAAAGTAAATAGGACGTTGAAAAATGTTAGAAAAACAAATGTATACATTGTAACTATTTTTCTGTTTCCACGGAAACCAATCTATAGACACATTTTCATAGGCTTATATCGGCATGAATGCCTCAAAGATTATTGAAGTCAAAGCTCAAACGAACTTAAACTTATTTTACAAAGTTAAGTTGTTATTCATGTTGCATATATTTTTCATTTCAAACTATGTCAATCATCTGAGTGTAGTTGAAAGTAAACAGCTATATTAAAAATGTCGGTAAAACAAAAGGTAAACTATTTTACTCTTTGTCCAGAAACCAATAATTGGGATTTTACCCCAATCACAATAATTCTTAGCATACTCTATTCTTAATTTTTTATTACTCGTTTCCATCCCACATTTTTTCTTAATTTTTGAGTTTTAATATAAAGTTTGAGTGCAAAAGCTTTTGCCTCCGTTAAAACAGCTGTTTAAATATTCATAAATCCCACTCGCCCAGTGGGAAAAGCCACAACACAGGTTTGCCTTCTGAATTTTTATCCTAGAAGTTACACGTAATATAATCGTTTTAACAGCATTTTAAATATTGTAAGAATTACATGTCTGTACAAAATTGCAAAGAAACCGTAAACATATGGAGTTTTAAAATGCACTGAAATGTTTTATTTTGACTTCTTTATTTTAATTTTTGTTTGACTTTGGTGTGGCAGATTGTATGGATATAATAACATTGCTTACAGTGCTTATATAAAAAAAACGTACGTTTTTGCAGTGCTAATATTTTATTTCATGTGTGGGCGTGGAAGATAGTCATCTTCATCAAAGTCGGTCTCCATATATAAACGGTGCTCGAGTTACTTTTTAAATTGCTATTTATACTGTAATATTCAATCTTTTTGTATAATTTAATATCAACGATAAATGAAAAATAAAGTAATTTAAGGTACGCACATTTAATAGGTTATAATTCAGTAAATAGCGACTCAATGATTGTTAACTTCGAATTCACTTTTCATGGTTAATTGTTAATTTAAAACCTTTGATGAGGAGTTTGTTTCTGAAATATGTTTCCTCTTGGTACAGTAGATTAACAATTAACATACGTTATTCTCTTCTACTGTGTTCTACCATAGATTGAGATTATTCTATATTCAAAGTAAATGATTTTACCCCATTCCAAAACACGAATAAAGAAAGGATACCAGTCATACATTTAATGTTAATCAGCACAATCAACTACGTTTTTATACCATAGTTTCCTTTATGTACTAAATTGAGTTTTCCCATCAGTCATAATGAAACTTGAGACCCTTATGGAAACATGCTACCTGATCTAGTTTTATTGGCGGTTTCAGGATTTCCGTCAATAAACAAACAACGTTTTGGCGCTCGCTCGGAGCGAAAACAAAACTAATGGAACTCTACAAACAAAGGGGTTGGCCGTGAGCCAGCTGTAGTTGATCATCCCCAATATTGGACACGACCCGCCTAATATGTCAAATGTTGTCACCGGGGTACACTAGATTAAAGGAATTGGCCACACCTTTAAATATGTTTCATCTCTAGGGTGAATGTAGCCTTTTTTTGGACACGAACTCAATTTAAACTCCCGGTGGGTTCCTTTGGGCCGATGTGATGTACTATGTTTTCATACTGCAGAAAACGTGAATTTCGTTAATTTAATTTCATACATCGGCTCCTAAAATGATTGATTTCTTGTTTTCTATCATGTGAACTGGCGTTACTGTCATTTAGATGCAATATATTACAACAACATATATACAACATATACAACAATTCAATATATTATCAACATTTTGACTGATTGCTGAATTGCTTTACATTTCAATTTGTCAAAATGTTGATAAAATGTGATTTGTAAAAGTGGTGGGGGAACTTCTCAAACCCAAACCGCCTTCATTTTGTGAACAGACTATAGTTTTTGGTACTGTGTTTGTTGAAGAGACAAAATATGCTACAGCTCACAATAAAGCTTGACATATATGGTTAACATTTTATTAAATTCAACAGAAATCAGTAATTTAAATGTACACTCTTTCTGTGACTCATAATTCAACTTTGAAAGTTTTTTAACTTAACTATTAAGGTCGAGTCACACCCAAATACACCAGTCCAGTCATCGTGATGTTCTATCACAGTCTAGTCCAGACACCGGTCACAGTTCTGTCTCAGTTGCATCCGCAACCAAGTCAACTCTGTCCGTCAGTTGGTCACTTTATTTACAGTATGAGGTTAAAGTCAAGAATTTTTTTTATCAAAAGACAATATTCTATCAATCTTTTACTGTCCAGCTTGGTGATTGCATAGATAAAACATTGTCACAAACAGCACTTAAAATATAAACACAATTACTTAAATAAAAAAAAAAAATACTGTTTATGTCAAACACGGAATCTGAAATTGACTGATGGACGCCGGCAACTCAAAAATGACTCAACTCAAATGGTGGGTTGTTTTTTGATTGGATGGACCTTTGTTGGAACTGTGGCAGATGAGTGTAGATAGCTAAAAAAACAAAACAAAAATAAAGAATAAATTTTCGACTGTGACATGACTGATGAGACTGAACTGTGACGTGCCGGAAATTATGTGTGAATCGACCCTTAACAGGGAATGAAGTATCTAGTTCCATCTGTTAACAGGTTTGAGTCACATGACTCCTCTCGGACCTGTCATCCTTGGATTTCAATTCTTTAAGACAAATAAACGCATTGGTGCTTATTTTAAGCTGGATGAAGTATGGGTATAGAATAGATGACATGTGTAGCTTCGCTACTGATTAAGATCAGCTGTTTATTAGCCAGGGCTTGTTTTTAAAGCCTAATCTGAACAGCTGGGTTTAAGATTCCAACTATCAGAAATCCGCGAATTTCTCAGGATGTAAACATTGTAACCACATGATTCTGTTGCAGTTTGGCAGGCATGTCTCGCAGCGTGACCGTGGCAGTAGCGTACATCATGAGCGTGACGTCTCTCAACTGGAAGGAAGCCCTCAAAGTTGTCCGGGTCGGGCGGTCTGTGGCAAATCCAAATTTCGGTTTTCAGAAACAGCTGCAAGAGTTTGAGATATACCGACTTTCTGAGGTATGTGCATTTAGAAGCAACCCTTGTTGACAAAAATCTGTGCCATCATCACCTTTGTAGTAAGGAGTTTTTTTTTAATTTGGGGCTAGGTTTTGTTTAGTTTTTCAAATAAACCAGTTTGATAGATTAAAACCCCTTCAGTATGATGAACAGAACTTCCTCACCTTCCTCTGAAAACATGTTATTTATTTTACCAACAAACAAATCACCATATAAATAGTCATGTAAAAATTGCGAGAGTGACAGGCTTAACCCCCAGCATATCCACAAAATTTAATGGGTTTGAAACACTTTCCCTTAGAAGGGCTTGAAATTTCTCATCTTAGGCATATTTTAAGTGTTGACACAAAAAAGATATGTTGCAATTTTGCTGTAGTGTTACAATAAGGCCTGTAGTTTGTATGTGACTTGCTGTTCTTGCTCTTCCTCACACACAGACGTGTAGTCTTGTGAGGAATATTTTTCCTTTTATAAAATATGTCACTTTTTTATTTATTGTACATTATTGGAAATAAAGAATCTTAATTGAATCTGGATATTTGCATAGCTATGGATATTTCCCTCCCCTCTTCCTTGCGTGGGAATTTTGTTCCTTGCACCCCCAACAGATATGAAACCTCTTACACCCCTGAGCTTGGGCTTACTGGTCCCATTAAACAATAAATCATTTAAAAGACAAAATAACGGTTTTTAGACGGTTTTTATCCACAGTGGCCTTGGTTGCCATTGGTGATCAAACTGAACTTTGTATTTGCAGAAAATAATGTAAAAAGACTTTGAACCGCAGATATTAAATTCCTGGTTACATATAAAGACTGGATCATTATTTTCCTGTCACAGGAGAGAAGAAGACTGAAGGAGAGGTTTCCTTCGCGGGCGCTCGCTGAGAGAGACGAGAAGGAGTGCAGAATATTGCTCAACTCTTATCAAGGACTCTTGCTGAGTAAGGATCTATGCGAAGGAAAGTGTGCGTTCGGCGAGGTTTGTCCAACAGGCTTATGTCGCTCTCCTAGCAAGAGGTAAGTTATCCGTCTGAATGGATTTTAGTTGGTATTTTGTGATACAAATTATCTAGACGAGATATTATTTCTAGTTTTTTTGTCTGAAAAAGACATTATGTTTGTACGAGGGTAGAAACAAAAACTTCTTATGTAATTTGAAATTTCAAAAACATTTAATTTTAAAAGTATGAACTAAACTGTACCTATAGATATAAAACTATTATTTTTGTATGATTTAGGATTTTTTGCAAAGTAACACCACATTCCAATATTTCCTAAGATCTTAGAGACTTGTAAACGTTGTATGATGATAGTAGTTGGTGAAAATAACTAAGTGGTTACTTTTACAGATTGTAATCTTACTCATCCCCAAGAGTAAAATATATTTTTAATTCATAGCCTGTTTAAAAAAACCTTGTTTACTGAAAAGCACTTTAATTACATTACGTCTAATAATGATAAACAATAAGTTGGCACAAAAATAAATGCACAGCAAAAGGTATCTCTGAGCTTACAGAAAGTTTGAAACAAATGCACAATCGATTTACAATCATCTATGAAATTAGAATACTTTGATTGAGTTGAAACCACAATCTTTTCTTTTACAGAATATTGCGAAGGAAGTCTTCGACAACGCCGCCCCAGTCTCCTCGCATGCTGCCGCCCACGCCGACCGCCCACTCACGGTCGTCCATGAGCCTGAACAACATGAGCGGCCCCTCCACTGGGCGGCGACCCCGCAGCGGCCCGGGTGGGTTGTCTTCCTACGCGGCTAACTCATCCGCTCCTTCGTCTCGCTCAGGGTCTCGTTACGACCTCACCGCAGTCGCTGGATCATCCTCACGGGAACGTGACCCGCCTATCTCGTCTAGCGTCACTTCTGTCACGTCCAGACGTGACTTCGTACCTCAGAGCGCTCCTTCGAGTCCTCAGAACTTTCCTCGTCGCGCTCCCATAGTCCCTCTACATGAACTTGACTCATGAACTATGTCGGTACTCGCATTTGTACACTTTGTTTTGACAATCTGCTTAGGTTAGATTGGTCGATGCTGAATCCTCTCTGGTGGTCAAAGCAGTAAAATAGCTAAAACCATAGCTAAAACTATTTTAAAGTAGTTATTCTAATTCAAAGAATCCTCTTTAGTTGATTTGAAGACCAAGAATTTACTATCTTTTTTTACATTTGAAATCAGTTTTAATAGAAAAACAGTGTAGTAACATTTTTAGGTGATTAATTACAGTTGTGGAATAGTACAAGTGAAATCAGATGAATATCAACATTTTGTACTTACCAAACACAAAGGGACATAAGACCAAATTTGTGGGAAACCTATTCTAAATTTTAATTTTACTGTTTTATCATAAAATGACTCAGGCTCCATTGCAAACACATCCTATTTTAAGTTTGAAAGCCATCGGAACGAAATTACTGATATAACTGAAAATAACCTTTAAATAAGTAAAAAGTCTGTTGTCTTTTTATTCTAAAAAAATTTAAAAGTATTACAACCATGCATAGAAAATATAATAGTAATATAATTCCATTATAAAATGGCTTGTGACTGCTAGCAGAGAGTTCAGCATCTTCCATTAGGTTTTGTGAATGCTACAAGTACAACTTTATTTAGATTTCTTGCAGTGATAATCCACATTAGGTGATTAAAACATATCTTGGATTCATTTTAAGAGTACAAGACATTTTAGGTGAATTATATTACAGTAGTGCTCAACATATTTATAAGGTTAAATATGTTAAGAGTAAGGAGTGACGAAGATTTTCGGAATGTTAAATTTATGAAAATTAAACTTGGTCACATGTATCCAATTGAAGCATTTACTAGTAATTATACTGAAAACACTGTGAGATAAAATATTGTATTATGAATTTACCTATAGGATTTGTTAGAAGTAGTTGCACATAAAATTGAAGTTGTTTTAGTTATGTTTTTATACAATCATAGTGTTGAAAATTGAATTTGAAATAATCGGATATCTATTTTTATAACAGTTTAATATGCATTGGTCTAGGTAACGTTTTAGAGTATATATCAATGCTTTGGTAAACATGTTATTTTTTGGGACTAAAATACTGTAACGTATATGAAAAATTCTTTATTTTAGTCAAGTCCTGAAATTTCAATCTTAATATTCTTTATTTTTGCTCTTTAGGTTGGAAACAAATTTCTAAAGAGCTGATCACTATCAGCTCTACATATTTAGGATATTGTAAATATGTATAAATACAGTACAATATTTACATTGGCTATACCATTCTACAATCAAACATAATTGATTGAAAAACCATCAAGCATTTGTTATTAAAAATGTTAAAGACTATTTTTGTTAAACACCAACTGCCAAATTCTGTTTGTATGTAGCCAACGCCTTTAGTATACAACTACAATTTATTTAGTATTAATACACAGTATGGTAAACGTTGTTAAATCTGTTGTTAAAAATTGTCAGTTGACTAATAATTAATGTTATAACGGAATATTAAATAAACATATTCAGAATAACCATCAGAGTTAAGAGATTACGGAATGAAGGAATTGAAAAGAAAAATTAATTTTTTATACTGGACAATACACTAAATCTATTTGGTACTTTTCCGTCCATCAAGTTTTAGTGTTAACGAAACAAGACAATACCAAAATTCAATCTGTCCGAATCAAATTGATTTTTATCTAGTCTGTTACAAACTTGTATCTAATTTTTGGAGATAATTTTTCTACTGAAGTTAGACATAAATCACACAAAACAAACTCATTCTGATAAAGGTAGGAAACAGAAAAAATATATGTTTAAAAACTCAATGATGATATATTCCACTAAAAATTATACTTGAACTACCAATATTCTTCCAATTTGCTGGTCATTGGGTGAAAATGTTTGTTAAAAATAGGGAAACTGAGTTTAAAATCAGAAACCGAGCGTTTTAACGTTTTTTAAACAAACGTAAAATAATTTTACCTAACCACTTTTAAAGAATAAATTTTAATATTATGTATAATGCATCCCTATAATGTAAAATGGGCTAGGCTATTTTCAATTGAAATATCACACTAGGCATATTTAACTGTCTTGTCTTTCAATGGTAAAATAAGTTTGAACTGTATTTAAAAGCAAATGTATGGTTAGCAATAAAAGAAATAAAAAATCATAATAGTACAATCACTATAAATTTTCTTAAATAAGATGTATAAGTGTGTGCATGTGTGTTTCCTGCACAGGATAAAATAAAATCCATGAGGTATGACATAAATGCAAAGACTCTTCAGCATTTTTGTTCTCTTTGTAAATATCATTGTTATGACAGTAAAAGAACAGTAATATAACAGTGAAAGAAAATTTGTCCTTTTGAATAATAGTTAAACCGTCAAATCGGTTGAAATTTATAACTAAGTGGACTGTGACAAAATATAAACGTTTGAGATCATACATGAACTTTAAAAAGTAATTACACTTTAGAAATAAACTAATAAAAGTTTATTCAAAGAATACTATGTGCTGTATAATAATTCTTAGTAAATATTGTTTACATAAGAACCTGGATTATTATGTAGTTTAAAATTGAAAACATAAAGAAAGCAATAAATTAAGGGAAGATAGATATGTATTTGATGTGCCTTGAATGTGATTTGATGTGAGCAGGGTGGGGCTTAGGCAATTTAGAGGTAAACAATCGTAGGTAAACAATAGTCAACTTTTGTAAATAAAAAACATTTAAAATTTTAAAAAATAGGTTTTAAAGTTAAAAGTTTTAAATGATTCCATTTTAATATGCTCGATACCTTTTAGGGCTAAAAAAATTATCTGGAGAATAATTTGATTCATAGTAGATTCAAGCTTCCTTTTCCAAGGGGCAATTTTGCAGCTTACAAAAATACTAATGAAATCGTTGATTGGAAGCAGAAAATTAAAGGCTAAAATAAAACACAATACAACATTGTTACAATTATTTTCTAATTTGCCTGAGCCTCAAGTTGTGATATTGAGCTGTTAAGTAATTCATAAGTTCTTGTTGGATTTGCCTGATTATGATTGTTATTGTTGTTTTTTAAAATATCTACATGCTTAAAAGCATTATTTATAACACGTTTTAATGTTAAATTTTTAAAAGATACCATCTGGAAAACGGATACAGTGAAATTTATGAGGACAATACTAATATTAGTAGAGAATGTGACCTTATGTAATGTATAGACACTAAATTTTGCAAGGATGAAAGAAAGTCTTCAGTAATGTTATTGCACAAAATATGTTAAATTTGTTTAGATAGTATATTGTATATTGTACATTGTTCCTTAGCTTGTAGTTAGTCGTAAGAGATGCTTAAGTGTTTGTGAGCATCAAATATTGAATTGGTTTCAGTAATTGTGCTGATATAATTGCCAAAGAAAATTTGTTGCAATAACGTCGTTGATTGATATTAAATCGGCTTACAAAGCGAGGCAGGTTTGTTACTTTTTGTTCTCTGAATTCGGAGCTATCACATTGTTGATATTGATTTGAAAAAAGGTAACTGAATTTTAAAGGACTGTTGAGTAAATTACAAAGCAAAATCGTATAAAATACAAATTTTGATGATTGTCGTTTTAACATTCGTACTAACTTTTTAAAAGGCCATCAATTAAAATAGAGAATCAGGAAAAAAAGACATAAAGATTAGTAAATTAAGGAAGAAACTAACTCATCTAAGTAAAGATTTCCTAGCATTTACACAAAACGTTTAAAGCACAATTTATATTTCATCCCTCTAAAGGGACTTCTTCAGAAGCATTAATTTTTGTATGGGGAGTTAATTGTGTTCTACACTTTTTGGGTGTTATCAACTGCCTTAAACTCTTTTCTTAGGTGAGATATTTGTTTCATTACATTTTCCATAACCTTTGCAATCAGTAAGACTATAGGTTATCTTAATCACTAGGATGGCTAGTCTGTTCTTTTGCAAGAGTGAGGATAAGATTTCACGTCAGTTTGTTATGTTGCTTGGTCGGTGATACTGTACAACATTGAAACCTCAAATGCTTAAAGGCCCATCGACATAAGTTGAAACATGTTTTTTACAAAAAATTATTATTTTAATTTCTGCTTAGTGGTAATTCCTAACCAGCAACTTAAAATATAAAATAATTCCAATGTAGTGTGAAAAAGCCACTATTATGGCTGCCAAGCTATTACGCAGAACAAAGGTAACCAGTGGTACTTGCCACATAAGTATTAAAAGCAGCTGATCGAAACAATTCTATGATCTTTATTTCAACACTGTGACCAATACTTCTGGCCAACAGAGCACAATGGTAAAGTTCTTCCTAAAGTGCTTTTTCCATTAAACCTCCACATAAGGTTATTTAAATCGTAATTCAGAATAATTTCTCGTAAACTCTAGGCATAATGATTACTGAAATCAAATCAATACCTCTACTAGTAGTTAGTTTTCTACAGATGAATGAGGCTTTATTCGATGTATATATGTAATAAGGCGCTGCAAAATCCTGCAATGTAAGTCGAGAACACCACCCAAAAAACAAACCACTCATCGTCACTTTCTCCCGTTGTTAGGTGGCTTTTGTCTTTAGCGGACACTTCACTTGTAAAATGCAATGATCTCAAGTCAATGAATAAACATGTTATATTCCTAACGGAGTGCAGTACATTTAGTCAATGATAATAATTGGCATTAATTGTTGCCATCTCTGAGCTTATATGACCAATTTATTTTCTAGCAGTTATTAGTTTTATTTATTTTTCAGTAACGGATCTAAGCTAGTTACATCACACTTAAATTGACAAGAAATTGTGTTTAACTTATCAGTCTACCAATTCAGCATGTTTCATCAGTTTAATCTCCTTTTTTGTAGTTACTTTTTCCACCTAAAATTAATATATCTTACTTCACACAATCTTTGCCCACTTTCACTTTAAAAGGCGAGATCTGTCAAATCACTCAAATCCACAATTTTCTACACACAACCCTACACCAAATACCATTGGTGCAAAATACGTGGAAATAAATAACCTCGCTTAATCCTGGTTAATCCAGCGTATGGATAACTTAGTTCTAAGCTTTGAGCAGGATCAGCACGTTGCCAATAGCCACACACTAATAAGGGTGCATATTAGCATAGCTAGAGTTACTGTTAGTGGACTATTTTGTGTCGTGGTTTTATATTTTTACACAGCTGTTACTAGAAACTCGTGTTAGGTTGGCGAGCCTGGGCTGGATCTGGGTTAGAAGTTTTATGGGATGTATACAAAATTTTACAATTTTTCTAGATGGAAAAGTTATAAAATGTGGTTTACATCGTTATATTTTTGGAGTGTAAATAATGTGTTTTAGTGTGAACTAATACTTGTGAGACCAAAAAGATTGAAATTGTTCGCTTTAATTTGAAAAATTTTGTATGAATTACATTGATTGAATAGTGTATGCACAAATTTACCATAGATTGACTGAGTTTTACGAACATTTAAAAAAATTAAAATCTTTATGGTTTAAGAACTATTTTTCACTTAAAAAAAATAACTAAATGTAATACAAAAAATAAATGTATTGAATTAGTAATTTTGTAACAAACATTAACAGCTGAGGTAACTTGGGCTAGAGCATAGACAAATAGAATAGATATAGACCGTCAGCTGTGCTGCAGTTAGCATAAGTTCTGGCGTCCACTGCTAGGTTTGCCATGTAGTTACGGCGCACACCGCTGCAGCGTGCAGCGTCCCTGCTGGTCGCATACGGCTCCTGCGCTCCTCACCTGCAGCGGTGTGCGCCGTAACTACACGGCACTCCTAGCGGAGGGCGCCGGAACCTTCCTTTGACAGTCTACATGGCTATAGTTACTTAGACCAGTAACTATTAGTTAGAGGTTACTTACAAACCATATACAATTATTGTAAATAAGTTTTATTTGTGTGCACTCCAAATCTGTTAAGCTGCGTTTGGACGAGGCCATAGGCAGGCAGATTACAGGGCAGGTTACCTGCAACAGTGTATTTCAAGTTACCTGAGGCAGTTAACCTGCCTGCCAATTGGCCTTGTGTAAACACAGCTTTACAGATAGAACTATGTTTAAACCAAGTTATTTTTAACATTGACATAAAAAAAATAATATTTTGAAAAAACCCCTTTAATTTGGTCTTGCAAGTATCCGTTCTGATGTAAAAACCTTACTACCATTGTAGTTCCTCAGAAGATTTGGCTTGTATTTTTACCACACACTGTTGACATATTATTAGGCCAGTTTGTTAGAGAGCTATCAAGAGTTTTATAGTTTATGAAAATAAACTTTACGTTCAAGCATTGTTTTTATTTTCCCACCACTTGATGTAATATTTTGTAAACCATTCTTGTAATTTTCAAAATAGTTTATTTAAATTCCTCCCATGTTTTGCGTATTAAGGAAAACACTATTTTGCTGTGGTATGTTACAGTAACAGAAAAATAACCGATGTGGAACATTTTTATCAAATCTTTGTGAGCGATTACATGAAACTTATGGATTACTGACTTAAACAGCCAACATACATTATTCCACAGATTCAAGATACGATGAGTATCCTCATATATAGAAGGATGGAGCGTTTAGAAGTTAACATATTTAATTTATAAGCAATGATAAAACGCGAAGAATATTAAATTTAAAGGTACAAGTCAACGGTTTACTTTAGACTAGTTAGAGAAGACTCAGGCGAGGGAAGAGTACTAAATTTAAAGGTACAAGTCAATAGTTTACTCTAAACTAGTTTGAGAAGGCTCAGGCGAAGGTAAAGGGAATAGGAGAGTTTTGAGAAAATGTTTTAAGGTAGAAGTAACGCGACCAATACCCATGAAAAGACAACATAGACAGTCCATGAGATTAAAGTTACTGAACACGTGTCATGATCTATGACAAGGGGTTGAATCTGACTCAGTAATAGCTTGTAGACAGGATATTGAAGTTTACTAAGCAAATTAAGTTTGATAGGAGCTGAGGGCGGGATTTTTTAGCTGCCGAATACGGCTGTGTTTTTCAACCCTTCACACGCGGATCAGGTAAGGAAATTTTCCATAGCTGCTGAATCTGGCAGGGGCTATACCCTGAAAATTAATGGCAACTAAATACTTGAATGACACTTCACAATTTTGCTGCTGTATCCTACAGCCAAATTCAGCTGCTAGTAAAACCTACCCTGAATAAGCCCAAAAGGCCCACATATGGAGGCTTAGAGATAAAGTGGGCTCTCACCCTGACTCAATAAATCGATCACCTGTTCTAATTGCATTCGATAATTCATGGTTAGTAAATTGACAATTTTGGTAACAAATACACAATTTCATAATTTAACGTGTATTAAATTAAAAAAATAATTATAACAAAGTGAGAAAACTTACTCCAACACACAACACATACACACAAGACGTTTTTTACAATCAATCATAGTTGAGTTACTTTGCGGCTGAAAGACTTCCAGTTCGGAAACTCCGTCAAGAATAATTCTCCTTTCTGCACGGCCCAGAAGCTTCCCGTTGGAGCGTACTTGACAATATGAGTTACAGCTTTTCCTACGACGGTCGAACTGAAACCAGTGTTAGATTGGATTAGATTTTTACGGAAGGTGTGGATGATTGAACGATGGGTGTTGAATGATTGGATGAGATTACAACTTTGCTACTGACTAATATCAGCTGGTTCTTATTGTGCACAATCACTCTTCTCAGGATCAAACCAGCAACTTTTGATACTAGGAGAGCAATTTAAGCACTCCGCTACCCAGCTATATTGCGATGTTTAATTAGCTATTCACTTGCTCTTAATTTAGAACCTCTTAACCTCTTAGAACGTTGCTCTTAGTATTTTTTACAGACCTACCTCTGCAGAGAGGCTTCACGCAAGGCTGCGACTGCCGCTCGTCCCATGTCCGGACTGAGTTGTTTCTCTGTCGTGTTGGTAATCATGTCGGTCTCGGTTGGGCCACTCAACAACCCAACAACTCTCACGCCTGTGTTTTTGTAGTGGTACTCCGCCTGAAACACAGAACAAACTAACATTAAAGTAGAAGAAACGATGGTATATATTTACTACAAATAACTGTGAGGTGTTTATGTCGGGTAGGGGCACCTATCCTAAACTTACCTCCGATTTGCTTGGACAGCTCGAGATGTCCAGGGTCTCGCTTACGGTCTTCGTCGCTCGCTCACTGCTCCTCGGTCCTCGTAAATTTACTGTTGCGTCGATCTGCTAGTACACAAGTACACACTGTGTACATCGGCACGTCAACGCAATGAACCCGAATTAATATCAATGAATACACAATCTATAGTTACTACTATAACTTGGTGTCAGCACAGCGACGCACAGACAAAGGCCAAGTCGAAGCTAACTACTAGGGGCCGATAGGCGAAGATTAGGAAATAAAATAGAGAGCCAGCTCCTAGGCTTAACACTCACTTCTCAAAATAAAACTAAAATTATCTTCTCGTAATTAAAAGAAAACGAAGCTAACTCGCGATAAGTAAATAATGAAATAAAATAGAACGTAGAAGGCTTATATACCAATTCTTCTTGGCTTTAAGTAAATAAATAAAACTCTTGATCAGAAATAAAACAAAACCGCTTTAGATGCCTAAAAGAAGGCGTAGGCTACTGCGACACTACACTCGCAGCGTCGGTCGATAAACTACGATGTTCTATTAAAAACTACGATAAACGGCCTAGAATAGCCTAATAAATAACGTAATTTCCCTCGCCAAAGTGGATACGAGGAGGGATACAACGTATACGCTAGCTATATACAGTGTACTTACGTAACACGATACTTCCAGATTCGCATCGAGGTTTCGCACGCCTTCGTCCGGATACTTTATTAGGTTCACTCGCACAGCCTAAGGAGGGTTGGTGTGCGCGAACCTATCGCTCGCCGCCGACTGTACGCTCTTGAGGGAGGGTGTTTGGCGAACAAGCGCTCGCCATCGACTGTCTCAAGAAAAGTCCACTGTCCGGCGTCTCGGCTTCTCCCCACCACGTCTACGTCAGCGCCCCAGTCACGAACTAGGAGACTTGACTTGCCGTGGACATGTTTGACATTGTTGTCGAGCGCGCTCAAACCTTCGCGGCCTTAAAATAATTAAAACTAGCCCCCCTAATAAAATTTGACCATTACACAACCTTTTGATCTCTGTGGATTTATAGATTTTTTATGCCTATTTTCATGTTTTTCTGCAAGTTATGAAAATAAAAAGTTTTCAAAACAAGTGTTTGGTGGACACACACAGTAAGGATAATCACAAACAAACAAAATGCCTTGTGCGACTCACATTAAGTTATCTAATTCCCTCAACTTCCATCTGAACTGTTCACCTTATACTTAAGCAAAATTTTGCAATGATGGAAAATTAAAAAGAAATATGAGTAGCTTGACTCATACCAACTTACGCCAAAACTGAGCGTAGCACCTACGACGCCTGCCTTGGAGGCTACATAGCCCGGAGTGTATGGAAAACCTTCAAGAGCAGCTATGTCGGCATGGTTGATGATAAGTCCTTGGCCGTTACGCTTTCCTTTTCCGTTTCTTCCCATGTAATTCACCCCAAGGATTGTTCCTCTGATAACAGATTTCTGGAAATATGCCCCCACATTTTTACTCTAAACATAGCTTTGTATAATCAAGAGCTGATATTATTTTATTAATGTAAGTGAATTTTAATTATTAAGAATTAACTCAAACTGTGTGGTTTCCTGTTTGGCTGTGATGTCTTGGTTACATACATTGTTGATGTTCTAGACCTAGACAGTCCTCTAGGCTCAAATAAACTACGACAGCCAATCAATTGATTATCTAAGACAGCAAAATAAACACACACTTAACTGTTTGGGTATCAAAATTAATGAAATTTCATTTGGACTGTGAATAGAATTAAGTTCGGGGAGTGGGAGTAAGATGGACTTTCTAGAAAAAGAATGATAACTAATTACGTACCACACGTCAAAGATGAGTCATATGTTTTAGATTTAAAATAGATTAGTTTTGTTGAGCACCCATCGTATTGAGTTGTAATTTTCCTTTATTATCAACAAATGTTTCCATTAAACCAATCTGAATGGTCAGTTGCCAACTTACCATGTTCTCTTTGAGCAAAAAACTCTGTCTATGAGATGTCTACTAGCTTCAGTAAGAATAGTCAATGGTAATTCATGAAAGTTTAACCAGCTCTTCACTAAAATCTACTGGGTAGGATACAACAAAACATTTTGTATTTTCTCACCAAGTTAACGTCGATCGCGTACTCCCAAACGTCATCTCTCATTATCCCAGCATTGTTGAACACAATGTCTACTCCACCAAAGACTAAGTCTACTCTGTAGAAAAGTTCTGTGAACAGAGTTATGATTGTAAACATTAAACAAAGTGATTTATTGCTCGTTTCACCATTGAATCCCATTCTAGGGAAGAATTGCTTCTGTCCAACCCAGAACCACAAAATGTAGTGGGTATGGAATCAACACTAGCCTACATGATATATGACTTAACTTGGTATATTTTGGAGTGGGAATAAAGAGTTAAAATAAGGACATATCGATGATGGAATTTCTAGTTCTGACCAAAGATCAAAGGTCGTACATATGAGTTTTACATGAATAATGAACGAGAAGATTCAAATAAATTCAAAAGCTCATACCGATATCATACCAAGAGCTATTACTATTTTTTCAGTTGTATCTCTTGTACAACTTGATAAATCCTGGAAGCCCTGTAGGGTTGGGTTGGTGGACAAAGTAAGATTGAAGAGGGCTGCAGCCATGTTAAAAAAAAAAAACATTCAAACATATACCTAGTAAACTGCCTTGACTACCTTCAAAGTCACGGGGATCATTGACGTCCATGTGCATAAAGCAGACTCGATCCGCACCGTGTTCTTCATTGAGCTGTTTGACGACAGGCTCTCCGTCTCCAACCCCCGCCAACACTACCACCTGCACATATCATTACGTCATGGTCATCATAGTCATCATCATCGGATGACTTTTCCTCACCACCTTCTACCAACACCACCACCATCATAGTTATGTATTGTTATTTTTTTACTTTGATACAGTGACACACATAGGTGCATATTTTAACCTGGAAAAGGATTCAAGTTCAAGATGAGTGTAAAATGAAGTGAGCTGAATTGTGTAGTTTTCTTATTGACTAAAGAACTGTTTAATCAAAGCCAATGATCAAGAATAACGAGTCCAGTTTTGAAACATCGAAAAGTTACAGACTTTCTTATGATCGAACCAGCTATAGTTCGGCCGCTTAGAAAACGACCTGTGCGCTAATGCTAAACCAATGCTGGAGGAGGTCGCTTTCTAAGCGGCTGAACTATACCATCAGATTCTGACCTTCTGGGCTAACACTATATCCACTGATATAATTAACATTATATTGAGGCAGGAAGACAATTTGGCATATTGTAATCTGAATATGGGTGAAAGTGAGTGTAAAATTTGTTTGTTTGCATTTATCCACACCATCATCTTTTTTTATGAATGGAGTTAGATGCCTTTTGGAGATTTTGTACTGAATAAGGCCAGCAGTTTCTCTACTTATGTCCATTAACGATAAAAAACAGCTGGTTCTGTCAATACTGTAGTTGCAAACAACCGATTCATTCAAACGGTAAGTAAATTCTTCCCAAATATTGAAATTTGTCTCTAGGATAACTAATTGTTACAACAGCTGTATGAATCCTGTTTCTCAATTCAGGAAATTCAGCAATTATTTAACATCCCTCAAAGGGACAAATCACAATGGCGTCAAATTGGGTGATTATGGAGGCCACTAATAAATGTTTAGACAGATGGTTAAAGTGAAATTAAAATATAACTTTTGATAGTGACAATAAAACTTTTTTGATTCGTTCATTCATTTTATTCATAGTTGACGTAATAAGAGCAAAATGTAAACTCCAATATATAACCATGTTGAAACACCCTGCACAGGGTACGAGTCAATTTGTTTATGCTCATTTAAGTTCTATGAGGTTATCCCAAGCAGAACACTAACAGTGAAATGTAAAGTAACTACATTACAGATCGTGACACTTAAGCCGTCATGTCCTTGGGATCCAAGTGAAGGCGCTCAAGTACATGATACACGGAGAGTCAACGCCGGAAGTCAGCGAAAATGTTTGCAGTCCGGTTTTTTCCTTACCTCCACCCCCCACCTATAACAGCCGAAGCTAGGCCCAAATGCCAGCTTACGTGTCACAAGCTGTAACGGTAATCTACCTATACACTAAACATTACTTGAGCTCCATTTTTTAGCAAGTCCTTAGCAGCCGCTAGACCAATGCCTGACTCCCCTCCAGTGATGATTGCGACTCGACAGCTGGGATCCATTTGGAGTGGGAAGGTCGGAAACTTACAAACAGGGTCGGCAAACCTTTATTTCATAACAAATAAATAATTATGTAACTCTTTCAACAGATTAGAATTTTTGTGAGTAAAGCAAGCTTAAATAGGAAAGAGTCTAACACAAAACTTTACACTTTACAAAAACATTGGTAAATATACTGTTACTGACAGAATTAGACCAACGAAGATCTGAGGGGATAAAGACTAAAGAGATACCTCACAACAATTCTTTGTACTGTACTTAATCTTTCATCATCAACCCGTTTGAACTTGTATTTATTAAACTGTTATTATTACAACTCCCCGCTAGATGCAAATCCTGAAAAATTGTTAATAACTGTGAAAAATCTATTTAGAGAAAAAAGTCAATAGGTATTCAGCTATTTGGTTGTGTCATATTCTCCTTGTACAGGTTCTTTTAAAAGTACCTATACTAAATTATATTTATTAGAATACAATGCTTCACTATGGTAAATACAATTTTAAAGAGATTTTTGTAGCCTAGTTTTCAATAATGACTACGCCTATCAATCTTATCATTGTGTTAAACTTATGTAATGTGATAAAATATAATATAAACACATGCTCTGTGGTCGGGTCAGTGATTTCCAATCATTCAGTGTACAATTTTACACCATATTCCACCGGTTACTTTAAGCTAATTTTTAAATATTTGTCAGCAGTTCAAAGACAAGTTATCTTGGTATGGATGATATTTAACTCTTATGTAGACAGTTAATTTTGCTTACAGAAGAGAAGGATATCGCAATACAAGTTGAACCCACACAACCAATTAAGGTTATCGAACAGTTCTGGATAAGAATATCTTAAAAAACTAAAAACTACAATAATTTAGGTCACAAAAACTACGGCAATAATATACCTACTTCTCTAAAGGGAAAATTATTGATATTATTGTATCTACTGAAACCGAAGAAAATAACAGATGCAGTTTTAAATTATTAATTTTACACTTACACTTTTAAAGGGTCATATTTACTGAAAAGGGGTTATATCGTTGACAGTTTAAAAAAACAAAATGTTTAGTTTTACTTACCTGCGAGTAATTTCTTGCATGAAAACATTTTTGGGACGTACAAGTGGTTTTGAGTAAGATTTACCCTTGACTAATAAACTTGAAAAATCTTGAGCGACAGATTTAGAAACCCTGTATTACAAGAAGCAAAAAAAAATTTGGTAAGTACATATTACAACAGCATATGTTACAAACTAGGCTAAAGGCTTATCAATAATTTGTGTGTGTATGAATTTAAACAATAATAAACATAAATCTGTTTGTAAACACACTTTTGGTTTTAAAAACTTTTTATTTTATTTAAATCTCTATTGTCATTTATTTCAAATGAATTTGCTAAGGAAAAGTGTTTTGTTAGTTGGGCCTCCACCAGGCTTCTTCACAGGTGAACTCGTCACATTTAAACACCAGACCTGACCTACAGGATTCGAACCCTCAATCATAGACAAATAGAATTAAATACAGACCATCAGCAGTGCTGCGGTTAGCATAAGTTCTGACGTCCACCGATAGGAGCGCCGTGTAGTTAAGTTGCACACACTACATAACTACACGGCACTCCTAGCGGTGGACGCAAGAACTTATGCCAAACCGTTCCGCAGCACTGCTGTTGGTCTAATTCTATTTGTCTATGCCAGCATCCAATCCCCTGGTAGGGAAGAGGAATAATCTATTAATACTAGTAAACCAAAAACTAGAGTACTGAAGTTCTATCTTACTCTCAGGTAGCAGCTCATGTCTAGTACAATGTGTAAGCTACATAGATAAGTAAAGGTTTATATTGACCTTTGGTACTCAAAGAATTGATATGAGCTAGCAGAAATCACAATTTTAGGACAATGATTCACCTGACCCAGGTCAATCTAAAAATAGGTTTCCTAAGTTTCCTCAGAATGATTTAAATATGAATTCTCACCTTAGCATGAAATTCAACTTCTGAAGTGAGAACATTATCACTTAACACAATTATTCACCCTATTTCAACAACTTGTTTATTTGTTGTTAAAATTTTTGACATTACTTTTTTGTTATAGTTTGTTTTAATATATTTAATCAGCTGATTGTAGTTTTTAAGTTGGATACTAAAAAGAGAAGAATAATTGCATTTAAAATCAGCATTGGATAAGTAAATTACTGTACTACTTTTAATATGATAGCCTAGTAGTACATCATAGAAGTTATTTCATTCAGCTTACACTACTTGAAGATTTTCTCAAATTTAAACATTATATCTATTTTAGGCTATGTGTTTATTATTGATTTGTATTAAAATATGCCTTATCCCCTATAAGGCTTTAAGTAGCTCAGAATAATTTTTATATTTTCCACAAAATAAAATATTTGCCAATTTAAACATTTCTAACGTGCTTTTAACATTGTTGGAAATAAAACAATTACAACAAACTTTGATGCAAATATTTTATTAACAATAGAATATTCCACAAACAATATTAAAAAGGGTAACAAATATTGGTTTGATTGCATTTATACAGTGCCCTATAAAACATTGAAAATAAATAGAAAACAGCATTTCTACATATTTACAGTACAGTACAAGGAACAATATATGTGAAATGTAATCTCACATGGTTCATGTACAGGATATAAAAATGAGTACTGTAGAGTGACAAAAATGTAATTTGTAAAATAGGAATAATTACAATACAAATGGTAAATTGGTTTTGTTAACATTCTTTTTTCTTCATACACAATATAAGTTTAGTACATTTTTACTAATTTTGTAAATGGAAGCATCCGATTCAAATGAATATCTAGCTATGACATATTTTAATTAGGCCTAAACCTTAATGAAAGTAGCTTTATTTTGTAGAATTGCTTCTTTATAAGAATATATTCCTTACAGTCTAACTTGCTTTTTGGTTATTTCATGGTTTATGGAGAAATGATTCTATGCCTCTGATAAATTCAGCTTGAACTTGTCAGATGTAGCCAGTATTCAAATCCAAGGCACAACAGAGATAATCATATCACCAAAGGTCGTCAGTTTATGTTCGAAAGGTTAGAATCGTTTCAATTCAATAAATCACATTAAAGATCATCATTTCTTTATCTTTATAAAAATTAGTTTTAATATTCCTAATCAAAGCATACCTTAACTAAGCCGTAGGCTAGGCTATAGGCCTACTAGAAAAATCGGAAAATAAAGTCATAAAAAATCATAATGAAATGAATTCACCAAAAGTTCAAATCGACATACCTAACTTAGGGTAATGTTAACCCTTTTTGGTCTAAAAATCAATTACCAATAGTAAATCTATTATTCTCCATGAAGAAACTTTAATTAGCCTAGGCCTATATGAATTAGTGAGTTAGGCCTAACTTATCAGTGAACGTAATGGTCAAAACTTGTATTTCGACTTTATACAAACATAACTTCAAAAATCGCAGAGTGGCAAGAATATGTCATGGCCAGATAATCAAATTAGCCTACACAGATAGAGCAAATTTGTAAATCTTTTAAAAATTCCTTCAGAAAAAAAAAATTTATAGAAATAAGTTAGCCATCATAAGTGTTTATTTAAAAAAAAAACCCAATGTGTTGTGACTAACATAACTAGTAGCCTACTTTGAATTCAACTAAAAATCAAACGTTATTGTTTTTTGACTGGCCTCAATACACAGGAGCTTAATATTATTGTATTACTGATTTTTTAAATCTAAATTACAAAACTTCAGTCCTAAGTATTTATTTACTAGGTCTACCCTACGTATGATTATTTACAGTTTTATGCTTATCACATCTTAAAAAATATCACATCCAAATTTACTTTCTAGATTAAAGGATGGAAATTTAAACAATATTCCAATCTTTTTTTAAAAAAGAGCAAACATGAAATGGAGTAGGACAAAGCATGGCTAACCATAACACTCATAATATTTAAAGAGGGCCATTTAAAAAAAGTAGCCTATTAACTTCCAAATTCAAATGTAAGTACTAATTTAATGTAGCCTAGACCCCCACACTGAATGTGGAAGACTGGTGCCTGTATAGTAGACTGGTGGTTGGTATATTAAGTTACTTGAGAAGGCTACGAGAAGCTTAAAATGTTTGACTGTTCGCTAAGCCATTCCTAACACAACGAAGTTAAAAGCAAACTTTCTATAAGTTAGGTAATAGCTTTGACTTCTTGAACATTCTACTTACTGGGGTTAGTGTTACATTAAAACGTTAAACAGGGGCATGGCATGAGTAAGTTCTCAATCAAGTTCACGGAAGGTTCAAGCGAGGCGACCAAATCATGCATATGGCTAATAATATTGCAATCAAGTAATTATCGATCTATTTTATGGTGTTTTTTTGTTAATTTTAAAATTGTAAGGTTAAAAATTTAAACAAAATTATGGATGTTGACTTATTCATCGTATAAGTTTAATATAACTTATTGCAGGTTCTCTGCAGAACTGGAGGCTTACGCACCATTTCTTTGAAACACTACACTACTATAGGCCTACTTGATAAAATGCATAATAATATTGTTGGTTGAAAGAAATGGAAATTTACCCATATCAGAATATAGAGGAGTACCTAGTTTGATGTTCCATAGGTACCGGTACGGTAACAAAAAACAATTGGCAGACTAAACAAAATAAAGACAGTCTAAACTAAAAAATCAATCATTCGGACCCAAGACTATTCAATTGGGGGAATAAATTACTGACCAACTACATTTTGTGTTCTTGACTAATGAAACTGTAATTTACTGCCCAGTGAAAAATCAAAATCATGACATCCGCTAATTTATTATTAAACACGGAGAAAAATACATAGGCTAGTAATAACTTATTTGCCACATTTTAATAAATTTAACAGTTTTATAAATATGAAATGTGAATGAGTTTACTGTTAATTTTGTTATGAGAGGTGATATCTTGTGTACACACTACACAGTGATGACTCAACCATTTTCACATCGAACTGTGTCGCAGTTGGAACTCCAAAACAGACAATTTCCCACACCACTGTAGCATATTAAAAACACTGCTGCTAAAAACACTAAACTGCAAATTGTGCAAGGTTTCCTTTCCAAGAAGAATCCTGTCAAATATAAAACCATAAACACAACATGGGTTTGAAGAAGTGCTGGGTTGACAGGCTTTGGTATGAGTAGCACTGGAATGAGCCATTGTAGACAATACATAATCACTGATTCTATCAAACTAACGTAAAAAAACTTAAGAACAAACCAATATAAGTAGTCATGGCAGCGATCTAGCAGAAATTTGACCTTGAGATGATCTAGGTGTACTCTCAGCTGATTAGTTGACCACAGCTGACCACGTGACGTCAGTAGGTGTTTGTATTAAATATTAAATAATGGATAAAAAGTGTTGGCCTGACCGGGTTTCGAACCCCGGTCTTTTTGTTGGTAGTTGTATGCGTTAGCTGGTTGAGCTACAGCAATGTTATGGGTATGGAGTTTTATATCGGTAAATGACACCTTGTATCTTATATATACAGGGTGTGTATTGGAGGTTTGATTTTAATATGGTTCACGGGTTCGAATCTAACCTATGTTAGAGGTTCACGGGTTCGAATCTAACTAATGGTAACTGAGGTTTACTGGTTCAATCCTAACCTATGTTAGAGGTTCACGGGTTCGAATCTAACCAACCACTAATGGTATTGTATTATAGTGAGAGGTTCATGGGTTCAACTCTTACCAATCACAAAACATGCTATTAGAGGTTTAATACCGGATGTAATCTAACCACAGCTGTTTATTTCAGCTGATCATGTGACTTAGTTTAGAGGTTTACGGGTTCAATCCTAACCTATCATTTAGAGGTCTATGGGTTCAAACCTAACACACAGCTGTTTATTTTAGCTGATCACGTGATTTGTTTTAGAGGTCTATGGGTTCAATCCTATCCTAGTAGGATTTGTAAAAAAACCATTTTATATAGTGTATAATGCTTAAGCGGAACTTTACTGTTGAGCATGTTATGTTGACATTATAATTTGTATATGTGTATCTCTGTAACTTACATATACAGGGTGTGTAAATATTGGTTGGAGGTTCACGGGTTCGAATCTAACCAATCACAAAACATGTTATTAGAGGTTCACGGGTTCAATGCCGGATGTAATCTAACCACAGCTGTTTATTTCACCTGATTACGTCATCTGGTTTAGAGGTTCACGGGTTTAATCCTATCTCAGTAGGTTTTATAAAAAACACTTTATATAGTATATAATGTTTAAGTGGAACCTTACCGTTGATCATAATTGGTAAATGTTGGATGTTATTTGATATATGTTGTAGTGTATAATAAACGTGAAACAAATGATAATTTATCCATCTGATATTAAAAACAGCTGAAAGAGGGCTTAAGTGGAATTTATCATTGAGTATAAAAATGGCCTTTGTAAAGGCCACCAAATATTATATGTTAAACTTATATCTAATCTATGTTAAATGAGTTCTTTGGGTTGGATTGTATTGTAGTGTGAGTCCTGGAGGTTCATGGGTTTGATTTTTACCAATCACCATTCATTTCTGGTTGGGGTGTTTTTTTTGTATAGTTAACTGTTTGTATATGAGTTCTGAAGGTTTGATCTCTTGTATATGTAACATAACCTCACTTTTTACCTAAACCACTCTGTTAATTCACCACTGGAGTGTCAGTGTTGATGGTATAATTATAATAATGATTAACTTGATATAAGATTCATCATAACAGATTACTCTGAGTTGAGGTATTAGTTTACAAATTCCCTACTAGATTGCAGTACTAGTGCTACCAACTACTGATTATATTGTATATGTAACATAACATAACCACACTTTTTATTTTTTAATTTATTACTAAGTGTTGACAGTATGTTACTCTGAGCTGATGGTATTAGTTTATAAATTTTCTACTAGGTTGCAGCACTAGTGCTACCAACTACTGATTATATTGTATATGTAACATAACCTCACTTTATGTATTGTATTGTATTATCAGCTTTCCCGCCAATTTTCCCGCTGGCTGTTTTAGCGCGGAACTTTAGCGTTGA